GGAAGGGAAGGGAAGGGAAGGGAAGGGAAGGGAAGGGAAGGGAAGGGAAGGGAAGGGAAGTCAATCCAACTAGAAAGTAGTACAAAATGTTCTTCATAGTATTCTAAGACCCTTAAGGCAATCACTGCAATGTATTCTTCTCCCTTTTGGACCATATTTAGATACTTACATTTAAGAACCCAGAAAAATGAGCCAAACTATAAATACTCTTTTGGCATGTTGTTCTAAATCTCTACAATGCCAATAATTAGTTACAGTAGTCCCATATTGTCTTCAAAAGTAGTTCAAGCCTCTTTAAATGAATGCCATGTCAAACTCTTTCTTCCAATTTCCCTGATGGTTTTTTCTCCTATGCAAAATGTGTTTATTTTCCTCCATTGGTCTCACAATGTTTTTGAATTGTTTCTAATTTTGGGGGGTGATATTTTAAAGTTTAGCTCTCTGTCTCTGCATCCTAATCTGGCCCCAAGTTCTTTCTTGGTGTCTTCTTTTGGGATTTATTGAAGCGTTGGAAGCCAGGGAGGCTACAGACCATTAGAGGGATGAGTGTGTACTATGGATGGGGGAGTATTCATGCCTACCTCTTGATCATCTTTTAACAAAGGTAACTCCTAGAGCCCTGCACCTCAGTCAGAACAATTGTTCTTCCCTTAAATTGAATGAGAATAATTTAAAGGATTTTGCAACACAGTGCCACTGTGAAGAGATCCAAATTCAAAGGGCAAAATATGATTCAAAGCATATTAGGTGCACATGTAGCACCAGTTGGGAATACCTTAAACCAAACAGTTTTTTTTTCCCCCCTTAAATTGTATGGCAGCTGTAAAGCCCAGGAAAAGATATGACCGTTTTAAAGTATTCTCAACCTTAAAAGCTATCCGTTATATTGTAAACCATTATACTGTGTCCTTAGGAGCTGAATCTATACACAGTCCTATTTTAAATGTGTTCAGGACAGGCCTCATGTACCTTAATTTCATGTCTGTGTGTGGAACTTCAAGCAGTTGACAGGACTTGGCTTTTTTCCCTGACCAGAGTAGAGAGAATCTACTCAGGATAGATAGAAAAGAGTTACAAGTTGATCAGCTCATTATATTTGGCAGGTAGGTGGCAAACTAGAAGGAAGGAATAAGTTATGTTAAACTAAATTGTCCCTTTTGTTTTCTTCCAGAAATATTCAGCTTTAAAGATATGAGAATGGATATACAAGAGGGAGGGTACATCGATTTAAATTAAGTGAGCTTGTGCCGAACTTTTCAAGAATTCTGTACTGTAAACAATGGTAAATAAAGCCACTGAATTCTGTGGGACCTACCTCTCTTTTTCTACATTTTCTTCTTTTTTCCTTTTTTTTTTTTTTAAGAATTCTGGTTGGAAATCCTCTTCAATAAGACTTTAAGAAAAAGCACTGACTATAAGCCAAATGGTTGAATCTTTTTTTTTCCTGAAGTTTATATTTTATCTCAAATATGGAATTCAAGAAAAAGTAATCCATTCTAGAATAATATTAACTTATAAGTATTTGTATGATTCAAATATCAGGAACCAATAAAAAACACTTCTGTAACATTTCAAGATTACGTATAAATTTATCTCAAGCAATAAAGTTTTTTTTTCTCTTACTTGATCACCATGTGATAATTAAAATTCAAAGATAGATTGCATTTTATTGTATCACATGATATGCCAGAAAAGTTATTATGGCTATGACTGATTACCTAAACCCTGATAATTTATGGATCAGACACATTATAGTCTGATTGTTCGCAGGCATTTCCCTTATTCTCTTGGGCTTTCTATTGCTTAAACTTTATGGGAAAAGAATGACTGTAACAAGGGAGTCATTAGTGTGAAATCTGGAAGTTATTTACAAACTATTTTTATAAGCAATAGAAAATGTTTGGCATGCAACACAGAAAGGTTTCAGAACTTGCATTTTCCAGCTTCGAGGGAAGTGACATTAATATGTTAAAATGTGTTAAATCCATTTAATTCTAACTCTCTTCCATTTAAAGTGGACTGAAGAGACTTTACATTTAAATTTAATTTTACATTTAAAAGTTACTTAGTCCATTTGTTTCTACTCAGAATATTTGGGGTTTATGATGATTTTGATCTCAACTTTAAAATTGATCACACATTTTTGTGGAGCTGCTTAGAGGCTTCTCTTCTGTTTTACTGCACTATATGCATAATAAAAAACTGGAATGTATGATAAATTTTGAAGTAATAGGTTAAGCTTCACCCACTTGATTTCCTTCACTGTATTGCATTCACTGTTAGGGATTGTAGGACAACTTACCTCAGGGACAGCAGGTTGGAAAAGACTATTGTAGAAGAATGGGAAGAAAATCTTGTTTTGAGAGTGATTCATTCCAAATGTCAAATACATAATATAATTCCTTTGGTTAATATTCAGAATCGTAGCTGATGAGTTCCCCATTAACATTGTCTAAAGGCCATTTTGGTGAAAAGTGACCACCCAGTATGCCATATTTTACTAGTATGCTAACAGGGAAAGAGTGACCCAAAGTCACCAAATGAGTTTTCATGCTCAGGAGTTGACTTCAGCCTGCGTCTCTCTGGTCCTACTTCAGCACATTAATTCAACACACCACATTTCAGCATCTGTGGTGGATGATGAAGTTACTGAAGTTCTGCAACATGTTGCGCTGCCTTCTCTAGTCTGCCAGCTCATTACAAAGAGACATGGCTCTTCTAACTGCCGTCTTCAGTTCTTAGTCATAGTTCCTACACTTAATGAGGGGATACAGGGGTGATAAGAACAGCTGTATTGTAAAACTAATAATGATGATGGGAGAAATCAAATTTATTTAACAATGGTAACAGATTCAGTTCAACATAGTAATTCTAAAAGTGTTAAACCCAAACACCAGACATCATTCATATATATACAGTATGTATATGTATATCTATACCTATATGTATATCTATATCTAAACATTGTGAACCAAATTATCTACACCTAATTATTTTTCACTTTGTTCATTTAAAAAAAAAAATCTTAACACTTACAAAACTTCAGTAAAAATGCATTATTCAAAAGGGAAAGAAAAGACAACACAGTACTACATTTAACACTTACAGGTATGTGAAGAATTTTTCACCAAGGGACACTGATCCCACGGTAACGGATGCTGAAAGGACTGAGAAAAATAGAACAAACTCCATCCAATGATGACATTATAATACAGGGCCACAAAAAAGCATACCTGTAAAAGAAGCAATACTTTAAAATACATTTTTCATACATGCACATTAATTCTGTGCATATTTTAGAAATGACTCGGAAGAACTGCTCCAGAGCACAGTATCTTTATTAGAGCTAGCATATCTGTGCTATCCCTCCTTCTGGATCAACTGTTTTTGACAACTATTGTCCAGACCCCAAACTCCCCTTTGGGGAAAATGTTATCGAGCAGGTGACAACTGCCCTAGAAGAAGCAGATTATCTGGACCTCTTTCAGTCAGTGTTCAGGCCTGGGCATGGGACAAAGAGCACTGTTTGCTCTGGTTGATTTACCTTTGTTGGGATCTTGTTGGCACCCCTAATAGTCCTATCAAACATTTAGCAGCCTTGGATACCATTGAACATGGTTACTTTCTGGACTGCCTTGAAGTGCTTGGGGATTGGAGTCATTGCTTTTCAGTGGTTCCTTAATGAGCAATTTCAGTTAGGAAATTTCAGCAATTTCAAGGCAGGAGAGATCAGCTTAGTGGCCTTATGGGGTGGTCCAGTCTCCACTGCTTTTTAATATTTTTACAAAGCCACTGGGAGAGCCATTGCTGGTTTGGGGCAAGGTATCATCAATATGCAGATGAAATTCAACTGTATATTGCCATCCCAGGCCTGGCCAGAGATGCCATTAAAGTCATATCCCAGTGTCTTAAGGCTGTTGGGATCTGGATGGGAAGAAACAGGTCAAATTGGAACCCATGAAAGACAGAATTGATGTTTGTTCATTGCAGTTCCCTGTCATCCCTGGGGTTTTCTCTTGACAGGGAAGCAGTACATCTGAAGGAGCATTTCTATGTTTGGGGGTCCTCCTGGAGCAAGGGGTTGCTGCTTAATAAGCAGGTGGAAGTTGTGGCCAGTTGGTGCTTTCCCAGCTCTGGACTGTGCAGTAGATACAGCCCTACCTGGAACAGGAGAAAGCCCCAACAGTGATCCAAGTCTTTACTGCTACCTATCACTATCAGACAGCACACAACTCTGTTAGCTCTTCATAGACCCATTAAGTTCTGGCTGTTCAACAAGCCTTTGGGGCCTGAAGGGCTATCCCTGTTTCTCCTGGGGAATTGATTATATATATGGGACATGATTGTTCCTCAGTGCTTAGAGTTATATTATTACGCTGTTATGCTTTAGTTTTCAATCTTGATTAAAATACAGACCTATTTTGAAAGTCCGTACGCTGCTCAGAGTCAGACATGATTGGAGGGGCATTTAAGCCTAGTAAAATAAATAAATGCTTATTTGGATTATTGCAATGCACTTTATGTGAACTCCCATTGATACAGAATCCAACAGCCTGCTGGATTCTGGCACTCATCACCCTGAGTACATGACCTGCATTGCAGGTCATGGACAAGACACGGACTGGCAGGTTTCTGGGTGCAATTCAAAGTGCTGGTTTTGTTTTAACTTAAGTGCCATTCAGGAATGCTGTCCCCAACTTGAAACAATCCATCCAATATAACCTTCTAAGGAAGATGATGGTGTCCCTTTTTCTTCAGGTGAGGGGGAGGGTTGAGGGCATTACAAATCAGTTTCAACTGTACTCTGAAGCAGCCCACCCCTAGAAGTTAGATCTGACTCCTCTGGGGAAGTCTTCTGGAAGTTAGTAGAAAAGGAGCTTTTCTGGAGGGTATTCAGAAATTAACAGGAGTATTGTCATCTATTTTTTTCAAGTAATTTTGAAAATTATAAAACAATAAAAGCCAAACTACAAAAAATACAAACAGAAAAATACAAAAGAAAAAAAGGTGTGAAAAAGAAAAAAGAAGGAAAAAGGAAAAAGGAAAAAGGAAAAAGGAAAAAGGAAAAAGGAAAAAGGAAAAAGGAAAAAGGAAAAAGGAAAAAGGA